AAATATTTTAGTCTGGTTTTTCTGATATTTTGTAAATCATTATATTTAAAATTTAATTTTTCTTTATTTTTTTCAATCATGTTATCATAATATTTATTTTCTTCAAGTGATGTGGTATTCATTTCTGAATTAATTGCATTTTTTACCTTGTTAAACAAATTCCAGATATTATCATAATCGATTTTGGCATATTTTGGTATTATATCAAAATATCCTTTAAAGATTAGATTAATCACGTTATTTGTAAATAGATCTAATGAGGGTTCCTGTTTAAATGTGTGTTTACAATAATAATTACAATCGTAAAATATTTTGTTATCATAAATTAATGAAATGCAATTATGCAAACTCATATTCTAGAATAGAGATTAACATTATTTTCTACGCACTTTTCTAGATTATTTATATTTTCAACTTCGTCCTTACCATCGTCACCTTTCCATTCATATAATTTTAACATTTTTTTTACAGAAGCATTAATTTTGTCTAATTTATTTTTAGATTCGGCACCATTATCTATTTTATTAGTAAGGCTTCAAGAATTTCTGCATTTTTGGTAAGAAAACCAGATTGTGTAATTTTTTTTGATTCTTCTATATTTTTACGTAATTGCATGGCTAATTCTGGACTATATTCTGTTGGCATTTTAATAGATTTTTTTAGAGGTTTTCAATTCTTGAATTCGCTTTTTTATATCATTTTCCAATTCATCAATTTGTTCTTTAGTTAGAAATTTTTTATCTTTATCTAATTTTTTTTGAATAATTCCAGTTTTCAAATAACTAATATATTCAGCATTTTTTATTTCTCATTTAATAGCAAGAAAAATAAAGATGTACCTATATTGTGTTTTGAATAATTCATTTATATCATTATTTTCTTTTCCACTTAAATAATCTTTATATTTGTATGTCATATTTTTATTACGAAATTCTTCAAATACTATAAAAGATTTTTCTTCCCATTCGTGTAATAAAGAGTTGTAATTTTTTTCGTCTTGACATTTTGTTAGGTTTTTAACTATATTATTCATAACATAATCTTTTTTTTCTAATACAGTATTTAACCTTTTTTTTCTTATTTCTAAAAGATCCTTTTCTAAAGATTTTGATAAATCCAATTTTCTGATACTTGATTCATTATATTTGGTAGTGTAACTTTTCCATGAAGTTGCAACGATTAATTTTAGTTTCAAGTCTAGATAATTGTAAGAATCTATACGTATATCGTGTAATTTTTTATATAGTTTATCTAAAATTTCATCTTTACGTTTTTCGATTTCTTTCTATGTTTTACCTGTTTTACCTATTTCTTTATAACTTTTTGGTACAGTTTTTACATCTGCTTGTTCTCTGTAAAAATCAAACTCTTTAAAAAAAAGTTGATAGTTGATATGATCAAAAAAATATTTTTTATTCAATAATCCATGTTGTAATAAATTTAATAAAAAGGTGTATAATTTATAGTCATATCGATTAATGACAATGTTTAATTCATTACGTGTTTTGGAACATGTATTTATCATTTTATTATTTTTGATTGTGACACAACGTACATCTGTTAAATTTTCTGTCGAGATATCGATGAGAAATAAAATGATAATTAATACAAAATATATTTTCATTTTATTAATTTCTTATATCTGTTTTTACGTAAATTATGTAAATGATTTTTATCTAATTTAATGTTCTGTAGTTTATGGTTTCTATTTTTGTATCGTATTTTTCATTATTAATTAATGTATTTATATCATTTTCGTACATGATTTCTTTTTCAATTTCTCTGTATTTGATTTCGTTATATAATATATTTAAATTATTGATTTGATTAATTTTATCTTTATAATCAGGTATTAATATTTGCTTATTATTATATAGAATGGTGCTGTTTCCTAATGAATAATACCCGATTTCTAAAATAAACTCAATTTCTTTCAAACAAAAATTGATGAAATTACTTGTGGTATTGTGTGAAGCGAGATCAAGGTATGTGTTTAATTTGATATTTGTTTCGTATCTAAATAAGGTATTGAAAATTGTTTGTCAAAATTTTTGATATTCTGTATGAGAGATAGGATCATCAATCAATGAATTTATTTTTTCATCATAAACATTACGTGTGTTTAATAATAAATATCCTGTTTCATTTTTTATTATATCTTCTATATTATTTTTATTTATGATATCAAGATTTTTATGTAAATTTAATAATTTATTTTCGATATGTTGAAATAAATCGATTTTTAATTTCAAATTCATCGTGTAAGATATTTTTTTGAATTTTCGCATGATATTATGTTCTATTTCATCAATATCTTCACAGTTAATTATTTGGTTTTTCAATTTATTATAAAGATCCAGATTTCTTAAAGTGTGTTTGGTGTATTCTGATAATTTACCTTTTTGGTAATCAGACCATACGATATCTTGTTTTATGTGATTTTCCAATTTGTTAATATCTGTTTCTAAAAATATTTTTTCTTTTATATTCATGAATAATTTTATTGTTCGTTTTTTATGATGATTCATATCTATTATTTTATTTGAAAGAGTATTAAATTGTTTAAGATTGCCGATTCTCTTATCATTCAATGATTTGATTTGATTTTCATTTACTAGTTCTTTATCTAACAAATGTATTTTCATTTCATATTTGTTATTATTTTCAAAATATTCAATATTTTCTGAATAGTGGTTTAAATCATTTTCAATGTTTCTATAGAGACATTTGTTATATTGAATTTTGATTTGTTTTTCTAGATAATCAAAAGAATTCCTAGAGAGAATAATATTATAAAAATCTTTAAATATTGATAGTTTAATAAATTCTTTATCTATAATATTAATGATTTTTCTGTTAATGATTTCCTGTGTGTTAATCAACTTTAAATATATTTTCAAGTTAAAGATGATATATGTTTCATGTAATTTTTTTTCTAAATATTCACGGTATTCTTGTAATTCTTCTTTGATGATTTGATTATTTATTTTTTTATTGATTATTGTATCTACTGGTCCTCTTTTTGCTAATGTTGGTAGAAATAATGTTTTTTCCATCTCATGCATTATTTTATTTTTTAATCCTGTTTCGTCATCTATCATATTATCATATTTATTTTTGCTAATATTTAGATATTTATTATAAAGATTTTCATAAATGGTTTTAAACATATTTTTGTTAAATGTTTTATAAAATTTTTTGTATTTCTCAAATAAGCTTTCTATTTCCTTTTCATTTTTACAATTTTGTATTTTGTTTAAATACACATTGTAAAAATTATATTCTTCAATCTTTTGATCTAAATAAGTATATAATTTATTTTCTTGATATTCTGATAAATTAAGAGATTTTTGAATTTTATCCGAGTAATAATTATTAAATATTTTTTCATGATTGTTTTTATGTGATATTTGATTCTTTAAATCAATAAAGGTTTGAATAGCATCTTCATTGTTTGAAGTGTGATATTGGATAGGTTCACCTTTCAATTTCAATTTCCTTTTAGTTTGTAGCTCAGATTCTAAAATTTTATCATTGATTTTTTGGTTAACACGATCGTATTTTTCGTTATCTTTAAAATGTTCAAGGTTATTATCGATTTTCATTTGATCCAAAATACTTTTATATTTTAATATTAAAAAATAACGATCTTCTCTCATTTTCTTATATTTTTGCTTTAATTCTTTTGTAAAGACATCACATTCAGAAATTTCTTTATTGAATTTTGCTTCTTCATCATCTTCTAAATCTTGAACATTTTTACTGTTATTTATTTCACGTGTAAAATATGTTTTCTTTTCAAGTCTTGCCATTTTAAGCTCGTTAATCTTTCCTATTCTTAAATTTTCAATTTCATTTTTTAACATCTCATTTTTTAATTCTGTATTCGAGATTAGGTTGAATATTTCACCATTTTTTTCTAAATCTTCAAATAATTTAGTTTGTAGTATTTTTTCTTTGAGCATGTAAAATATCTTGAGCATTTCTATTCATTTTTTTCTTAAATGATGTAATTCATGGTACATATATTCTTCAAGATTAGGTTTTTTTTCTTCAATTTCTTTGCTATATTCATTATTTAATTTATCAATGTCCATTTCGTTAGCAATTCTTGTTTTTAAGGTTTCGTAAAATTCTGTATCTATTTCCTTTTTCGGTATGATCAAATTTAATTCCATATCTAATCCCTGTTTGATCAACTGTGCCATAAAATTTAAATTCTGAACTAGGTAATTATTCTGAGGGATGTCATATTTTTTTTTGGTAATTTCTACACGTGAACAATCATATATTGCAAATGTGTTTCCATTGTTATCGACACTGATACAAGAAAATTCTGTGTAAACATTTGTAAACAATAATATTATAATAAAAAATAAAAGCAACATTTTTTTATTTAAATGTAACCAATTTCATGATACCTGATTCCTTCGGTGTATTTTATATGTGGATAAATATTTAAACAGTATTTACATATGTATAAAGGATCGTGTCTGAGACATAATATTTCAAATAATTCCAAAGTAAAAGAATTACATCTATCACAAATTTCATATTCAGTTTCTGGTATTGATTTGATTAATGAATAATTTATAATATCTTCTTTTCTTATCTGTTTTAAATCTTTGTCTTTGTAGTTAATTTCAATAACACATTCTTCTTTTAATTTGCCTTTACTATTTTTTTTTCTTTCAGCATTGATTGTCAAATTATTTACAAATTTGTACCAACCAACGTATTCTTTGAATAGATTCTGATCAGATTTTTTAAATTTAATTTTTTCTTCATTTATTTTTTTTTGCCAAACCTTTTTAATCACGCTCCAAACATCATTTTTTATCAATTCAACTTTATCAGGAGGTATTTCTTTATGAATTAATTCTCCTTTATCGTTTCTTTTTGAAGAAGAGAAATCCTAAATTTTATCAACAAGGGTGTTTTTGATTTTAATTTCTACCTTTTTCTGTTTCGCCAGATCCAATGAACTTAATCGATTTTTCAGCATGATCAATTGAATATTTTTTTGATTTTCTTTGTTAATTGTTGGAGGTTGAGGTGATTCATTTTCATGCCAATATACTAAATCTTCTTCTCTTATCAATCCAGCATCTTTTTTTGGATCAGATTTCATGTTAAAAATAGGATATTTTCCGCTCGCATCTTTGGTTGTTCCAATGATGACAACTTCAATTGGTAATCCTCATTTTTTCGGTAAAGCAATTGCCAATCTTAAGAAATTTTAATATGTATAATCATCTGTTTTTTTTGTTAGTTTATAATTATTTTTTGCTAGATATTCCATGGGGTTTTCACTAGCAGGTGCTATTATTCCATTAATTAAATGGTAGATAACATCTTTTGATAGTTTAGTTTCTTCTAGTTTTAAGGTAAGTAAAAAAGCCCATCCAGGCAACATTCTTCCAACTCTCCTGATTATTTGTATCATACTAGCTAATAATGAGTATCTTATCACAAAATCAGCTCTTCTCCATTTTTCCGCATTACTCGGACCACGACCAAGCAGTTCTTCAAGTGTCTCACCAGTTGAAATTAAAACTCTTGTCCAAGGCGAAATTCCCATTTAATGATCAATGTTGAATAAGAATATTGATCCTGTCAGCATGTTTTGTGTTATAGAACTTATTGCGTCAGAATTAGTATCATCAAACACTACAAAAGGAATACCACTTTCTTCTAACATTTTTCTTTTTTCAGGTTTTAACCCAAAATTAATATCTTATTATTGTAATCTATTTCACCGGTCACGGTTCTTCTATAAATATCTTTTGTAATTGCAAAATAAATAAGATGTTTTTCTTCTTTCCATTTAACTTGATTACCGAATTTAGTTAAAGACATTACTTTTCTTGGTTTTGTTATGGAAATAGAAAAATCTTTTTCTTTAAATGTCGCGCTTATCAACAATACTTTATAATCCATTCTTATCAATAATGGAGAAATGTGTTGGTACGCAGTATTTTTAACACTCTTATCATGTGCTTCATCAATGATTATCATGGTGTTTTCTTTATCAATGAGTTTTTCTTTTATTTTATCAAATCCATATTCATCCCAATAATTTTTTGGTAGATCTTTAAGTTTCTGGGTTTCTTCTTTGCTGTATTCTTGCATTTTTACTTTTTCACACGCGATGTATCTGATTAATTCATATAATTCTAGTATTGATAATGTTGATTTGCCTTCTGCTTCAGATAAACATTTTTTTTCATTATTATTTCTATCGATCCAGGATGCAAGATCTCCTTTTACGGCGAAATAAGAATGTCCTTCTTTTCCATGTATAATACATTTATAATCCGGTCTTGTTAACCAACCATTTACTGGATCATGATATATATACACATCTTTTTTTTAATGAATTGTTTGGGGTTATAAGAATGATATGTTTACCTTTAAAGATGTATGACAGTAAACATTTTACTAGTTTTGTAGTTTTTCCTAATCTGGTAGGGATTGGTAATACATCCAAACCATCATTATCAACAACATAATTAGTTTCCTCTACAGTAATTTTTTTCTTTGAATCTTTTGGATCTCTGATTGTTCTTTTTACGGTCTCTGCTTTATTTTTGGCAAATTGACTCAGATTATAGATTCCACCAAATTTTTTTCTAATTTCCTTTGTTTTTTTAACAATTTCTTTTTCTTTTTCTATTTGTTTATTAATTTGTTTTTTATTTTTATCATTAGGTTTAGGTGCCTAGGTTACTTGTTTATCCATGAATTCTATCTTGATATATTTATTCAATTCTATTTTTAATCATTCCATGGAATCGGGATTGACAAAAACATCATTTTCAATCTTGAAAAAATCAGTTTTAAATGATTCATTTAGGTTTTTTACATGTTCATCTTTAAGTTCAGGATAATAATGTTTTAACCAAGAAAAATTCTCTTCTTTTTTTAGTAATAGTTCTGGATCGAAATCTATTAATGAAAATATATATGGTAATTTATAAGCAGCTGACATATTTCTTCCTAAATTTAATTCTTCTTTTTCAATTTCTTGACCACTCATTTTTTCATAACCTCGTTCTCCTGTAAAGCTATAGTTTTTTCCTAAAATACTTTTAAAAGTATCATCATGATTTTCATCAAACTCATATCTAACAAAATAATCAATGAATTCGTTTTTATCATTATACTCTTCTTTTGAATAATTTAACTTATTGATGTTGGCAAGTTGTTCGGTTAACCAATCATCTGGTAATATATCAAATTTTTCTCTTGATTTGACATATTTTTTATTATATTCGGTTTTTATTTTTTCAGCATTTTCTTCCGATATTATTCTTATCAATCTTTCTTTTAAAAAATTACCTGGTGTTTTATCAGGTTCCTTTTTAACGATCTTTGCAACTTTAAATTTAATGCTAGGTTTTGTATCTATTGTATAACCTCTCAATGGTTTCGTGACGTTTGATGAAGGGTCAATTTCTTCACCTGTTAACCATTTTTTAAGATCTTTTTCGACTAGATTTTCATCACCTGGATGTTTTAAAAAATCACTCAAGAATTTATTAAGGAATTCAGCAGTGCATTTTTTATTCCAACTATTGAATACCCAATCATTTTTTTCTTTAATTGATTTAACACACATATCTATTTCTTCTTGGAATAGACCATCATTTTCAAATTCATTAGTTTGATTATTTAAAATATAATAAAAAAAGGAACGTTTTGCTTCAATGGCTTTAAAAAGATCATTGGTTTTTAATCCAACTGGTAGTAAATTATTATCTAATTTTTCAATATCTTCTTTTTTAAAGTTTTCAGGTAAGGAGATAAAGGTTTTTTTATTAGGATCTAAAATTTCATCATATATATCACTTGCTTTATCAAAAATTTCTTTATTTATCTTTACAACATTTATATTTAGAAATTTTCTATAATTAAGTTTTTTGTTAACAATTTTTATTTCATCGTTAATAATCCAACCATTTTTTACACATGCTTTTGCTTCATCAACTGACAACCCTGATTTGTATTTCCACGCAATCTTTAAATTTTCATCTGAAATGTTATTTTCTGTAAAAAAGATTTCCCATGCTTGTTTTTGCAAGATCACAGATATTATTACAATTCTTGGTCAAGTTTTTTTATCAATTCTTTTCTTTTGGTTTCTCTTATATAGTTTAATTTATCTCTACTTCCATGCCCAATAATTTTTTCATCAATGCTTTCAATCAACCTGTAAATTTCATTAAACATTTCCGAATTGAGCAGAACAGGGTCTTCACATTCTTTGATCATTTTTTCAATCTTGTTATATTTTTCTTTTTCTTCTTAAACAACTTTTGTGTTTAATTTATTAAGTTTTTTTCTGTATAAATTTTTCAAATTAATTTTTTGTTTATTATCTAATAATTTATCATTATTAAGTTGTTTAATCTTATCCAAATCTATCACATCTATCAATGTTTGTGGATGGTCAAATGGAGCATTGATGATTTCTTCATATTCGTTATATTTATTTGTTTCAACAACTTTTTCTTTTTTAATATTTCGTTGTTTTGTCAATTCGGTAATGAGATTGTTTGGATATTCAGTATCATCCTGTTTTAATTTTTGAATTTCTTCATCGATTTCTTTTTTATCGTTTAATTTTTCAACATCCGATTCTTTGTTAATATCTTCTAATATTTTTTCATATGCTTTGATTCGTGTTAATCTTTGTTCTAGTAATGATTCAACTTTCTTACCCAATTCAGTATTAGTTTCTTTTAATTTATTAACATTTTTCTTGATATTCTTGAGATTTTTTGAGTTTTTCTCTTCATTGATTTGTCTTTTTAATTCTTCTGCTAATTCTTCTGCGTTATTTGCAATTAATTCTGTGTATTTCTCATTACATTTTTCATGCAATTCATCAAACAGATCTTTTGCTAAAGGTTTATCTTTTAATTGATTGATAATCTTTTTCGAGATAGCACCCTCATCATGTTTCAAATCTTCAATCTTTATATTTTTATCATTTATTTCTTTTAATATCTGATCGTATATCTTAATATAATCTCTTCTTTCTTTTTGACGCTTATCATAATTTTTTCTAATTTCAGGGTATTTGTTACAGATCATATCAATTTCTAAATCAAGTTTTTTCTTATCATCTAATTCTTTTGCCAATTTCGATGTCTTGATTATTTGATCGATTTCTTGTAATCTTTTTTGTTCTTTATCAGTTAAACCTTCAAATTCTGGCAGTTCAATTTCATCAGGTTCAATAGGTTTACCTTCTAGTATGCTTTTCTCGATTTTTATATTATTTATTTTTCCGTTATATTTTTCTGTTAATGTTTTAACTTGTTCCTTTTCATCATCAGTGATTTCTTTTTTCTCAGCTTCTTTCTTTAATTCATTAATAGTATTGTAATATAAAGAACTTTTATGATTTAATGCAGGAATAGCTTGATTCTTTTTGAAATCATTTAATAGATTTTCAACCATTTCGTCACTATAATGTTCATCAAATAATTCTTTAAAATAATCGACACGTTCTTTACCACGACTTTCTAATGAGAATTTCTTAATTATCCTATTTTTTTCATCTTTTGTAACTGTTGTGAGGGTTAATTGTTTCTTTAACCATTTTATGTCTTTTAAGGTTTGTTCTTTATCATCTGCAAGTAATCGATTTTTTGCTAATTTTTCGATTAGATCGATGATTTCAGAAATGCTTTTTGCTTTTGATTTTTCTTTTTCAAGATCTTTTATTTCCTTTTTTATTGATTCAATATCCTTTTGTAGATTATTCTCAGTTTCACTCAAATCTTTTTTGGAATCATCTGAAGGTTTTATGATGGGTGGTGTAAATGGAATATTTGTTTTGATTGTTTCAATTTTTTTAATTTCTTTTTTGGTAACTTCTTCACCCTTAATAATCTTATCTAGTATTTCTAACAATTCTTTTTTAATATCCGGATGTAAATTCAAGATTAAGATAAGGTAAAGGATCCTTATCTTTTTTATTACGTTTGATACGTCGTTTGATTTTTTCATTATATTTTTCATGGAATGATTTTATTTTTATTGCGAGATCATCTTCTATGAGTTTTAACAATTCCTTCTTGATATATTCTAACCAATTGATGTTTTTATCATTTAAATCTTTTTTAAACTTTTTCATCTTCTCGACCCAGTGTTTTTTAACAAGTTCTTCATCACTTTTATTAATTCTATAATTATCTTTTCAAAAATATGATTTATAATCACCATTTGGTAAGAATTCTTCAAATTTATATGTATTTTCCATATCATCTATCAAGAACCTTACATGACAAAAATCTTCTAACTCTTCTTTTCGTTTAATAAAAACATCGAGAGCTTCGTGTTTTGCTTCTAGTACAGGATTGACTTTTTGCTGAAAATTCTTATCTTTGAATAATCCATGGTACAATCCATTATTCGTAAATAATTCACAATCTGTTTCCAATTCAATATTTTCAAGAATTGATATTATACATTCGACATGTTTCCAATAACATTCGTGTAATTTATCTTTATATCTCCTTGCAGTTTTTAACAATAAAGGACTGTTTATATCGAGGTTCATATTTGATGTTTGATTCACGATCCAAAACATATTAATGATATCTAATTTATTAGGTTTATTTAACAGATAATTGAACCACTGTAATGTATTTGGATTTAAGTTATCTATCTTTTCTAAATGTTGCATTTTGAAATCATGCATCTTTTCATTTCCTAATTCAGAAATTACTTCTTTATTTCTAAGCATATTATACAAAAATCCTTTATACATGAAAGGTTTGTAAGTATCTCTAGTTTTTAACAAATCGGTAATAAATTTTTCTTTATTTTCAATATTAGCTTTTAATTTTTCACATGATTTTTCACACGTTTCCATTAAAATATCAGTTTCATTCTGTGTGATTTCAGTATTTTTAAGTATCTCAAATTCAATTCTTTCACCTT